CCTTACTACTAGGAGCAAGGATGCTTTTTAGGGGCTCCTGGCATCGCTACTAGGAGAGCATGGCTTACTACTAGTAACAAGAAGCTAGGCAGTGACGTGCCGTGCGGTGCAAGGTGGCCTTGCTAGACTTTGCCATGGCGGTCTACACAGATTTACACGCCGCGCCGGGCGACCTGATCTCCGACGGCCTCACTGGGGGAGCGTCAGAATCCGGGGGGGGCCGAAGGTATATGTTGGTTCTTGGAACGTTCTGATGTGTTTTCTACCACCCAGGACCCACAATATGGACATCATTTGGACCCCTTTTCCCACTATACTGGGTCATCCGTCACCCTGAAGCCACCTCCCTCCGCCTTGTTACGACCGTCGCCCTCCTTCGTCCGAACCCCGCTGTGACGCTACCCGTTTCGCCTTCGCCCCAATCTGGATCCAATGTCCGGCACCCGTTTCGCACTGGCACGCCGGGGTTGGAAGACCGGCGAACGCCAAACGGGGAAACCGACATGGTGACCGTGTCGATCTCAGGTCTGGCGCCCGCGGGAAGCTCATGTACCGCGCTCCGGAGCGGGAGGGTAAAGAGGTGGTGAAGACCAGATTGAACAGTTGACGAATCTTCAGAACAAGATTCTCTGGCATGTACTAGTACGGGATTCCCGCCCTGAATAAACATGAAGATGGGGAGTTTGAGCTCCAACATCTCTTTTCCAGACATGTCATTTTCTAGAACATGTCAGGCATGTGCATGGTAAGTTTATATTGTTATGTTCAAGCCTGAACTTGACAAGAAAATTGGACACCCCTAGAAATGAACTTCCAAGTTGTGAGCTCTTTTCTTTCTACGTCCATGTGAGGCTGCTTTTTGGGGTCTGGTGTGTGTGTGTGTGTGTCAACCTCTGTTCCAAAGGGTGCTACCTGTCATTTCTCAACTTGATAAGCAGGGGGCAGTGACAGAGTTTGTGGAATCACTGCCAACGAAGACGTCCACAATCTCTGGTGATGCATCGGGAGACGTCCTGATGTGTACCTGCTTCAACTTTTGGACAAGCTGTCACCCTGCATTTTCCACGGTTTGATTCATAGTTCTTTCACGATACCTTCCCCACAAACAGGTTTTCCCACTGCAGTTTTCAGCTGCTTGTGCATTGCAGCCAGCAGAGCGAGTGAAACAATGTTTAACACTTCAAGTCACCGGACCCGTTCACCTTGCTGTTCCATCGCCTTCCTTCTCATCGTGGGAATTGAGTTAACAGCAAACCAATGTCAGAGTGTGAATCGCTCAGCCGTCCCACTTGGGTGCTGGGTGTGATCCTCCGCAAGGAGGCACTGTCATCATTCCAGAAATCATGTAACTGCTTTCTTTCCGGAAATCTCACCAACCAGAATCCACGTGAATGTTCTCAACTTGAGAGCCGCCGGGCTTTTACGGATATGACAGCCGCCAGGCTTAAAAACGGAATTCACCCCACTTGAGGCAGGTTTCCCAAACCCCCCCCCCACCGTGTTCTACTCCCTACCTAATTAGGGAAACACAGGGAAATGGTACTCGACACACTTGTGTGTCGGTGCCTTTCCCTCTGTTGTCCCTTTCTAGTCTACTCTACCCAGGCGGTCTAAGACTAAAGTCCCGCTCCCTAACTATTGCACTGTAATTCGTTTCTGCTAAGTAGTCAGTAACCCTAGAGTGCTAAGTATTCAGACACACACACGTACACACACACACATGGACATACACCCCCTCCCTGCCCCCCCCTTTCCTTCTTGCGCTTTTTGTCGTTTGTTGGGCTTTCTCTCAGGCTTTTTAGGTTGTTCTTGAGGCTCGTTTCCCTACCCCAGTCAAGGGCTAAGTATTCATTTTTCATTTTTTCTACGCCTATCTTTCTCTCTTGCCCTCTTAGCGCTGCTCTTTCTGTGTTTCTTTCTTTAAATGTTTCTAAGGCTTTTTAGGTACCTATTCAGGCTTTCCACGCACGCGCCACCAAGCGGCACCGTGTGTGTGTGTGTCAACCCCTGTTCCAAAGGGTGCTACCTGTCATTTCTCAACTTGATAAGCAGGGGGGCAGTGACAGAGTTTGTGGAATCACTGCCAACGAAGACGTCCACAATCTCTGGTGATGCATCGGGAGACGTCCTGATGTGTACCTGCTTCAACTTTTGGACAAGCTGTCACCCTGCATTTTCCACGGTTTGATTCATAGTTCTTTCACGATACCTTCCCCACAAACAGGTTTTCCCACTGCAGTTTTCAGCTGCTTGTGCATTGCAGCCAGCAGAGCGAGTGAAACAATGTTTAACACTTCAAGTCACCGGACCCGTTCACCTTGCTGTTCCATCGCCTTCCTTCTCATCGTGGGAATTGAGTTAATAGCAAACCAATGTCAGAGTGTGTGTGTGTGTGCCGTGTGCCGTACGGCAGATTCTCAGGTTCTGCGCCAAACGAGCAGGTCGCCCCAAGGTGTCTCTGCCCAACACCAAACGACCAGACACCGGACACCGGGTGATGTTCCACTCACCGTTCCACGGTCATCGGAATGGTCGAATGGTCCGGGCGGTCCCGCCTTGCATGGAGTCCGCCCTTGGAATGGCCCTGAAACCATCCCTAATGGACCTGAAATCCAGATCCTAGGGAGGGCTTTTGGCGGCTTTCCGTCCCAAAAATCGACCGGACAAATCCAGATCCGGCTAGGGAGGGCGGCGAAAAGAAAACACAAAAGCGGCAGTCCTTTGGGTACTCTAAGGAACTCCCTTCTGCCGAGGGAGTTCATGTTGACAGAAAGAACATACAGAAATATGTAATATAAGTCAATGTATCATCTGAGATGTTTCTTGGTCTTCAGACTGGTCACTTAGACTTCAACGACACTTGTTGTGTCATGCCCTTGACCGCAGTCTTCCCATCATGCTTCGCAACCCCTCTTGAGATGCAGAACCAGGTGATGAAGCATCTTCCGCTATTTTTTGGGGGGAGTCAAACATTTAAAACCCGGCCACCCTGCACCATCGCTTGTGGCGTTTGGAACTGACCTCGGGACACAGTGGCAGGTGGAAGGTGTCCAGTGGCGGTCGATGCCACCATCGGTTACTGGGGAGTTTTTGCAGTTCCGATCTCCGACCCGGTCATCTGGGACCAATCCTGTTTTGGTCTCTCAGCCACCATCATGATTATGGTCCCGTATATATAGTGTGTCGATTCAGGTCATTATAAGTTGTATATACATGTATTTTCAACATCTAAAACCATCGATCTTTGCCAACCAATCTCCGCCTCCTATCGCGTTCTCGGCCTCCACTCCAGGAGGCGGTCAAGGACGACGCCATCTTTGACGCACGACAAGCTGACGCTGGGCCGAAGGGTCCATCCTTCGCGACCTCGGGGGACGGTCCAACGAGGAGGTATGAGGTGCAGGTCAGAGGCCCATCGTATATACGTATGCCGAGGAGGCACTCAAGGAGGCACTCAAGGAGGCATGAGGATATCCTGAAGCCTTTATTTTTAATTATAGAAGACCTAGGGGGACCTCATGGGACCTTGGTACTTGACTTGTTTCTTTCAGGTCGTGTTTTTGTAGTCCGGAGGTTCCAAGCCGAAGATCTTGAAGGTCCGATTGGGTTCAGCCTCCATGACTCGCTGTGTCAACTGTGGGGAGACCCCCCCATCTTTCGTGGAAGAGGCTTGGAAGGTCGACCTGTGACCCACCACTGGTGGTGCTCGTATTAGACGATAGACGAAGTGGCCCACTGGTCGTCCACTCCGACGAAGTGGCCCTCTTAACGTATTAGACGAAGGGGTCCTCCTCCGGGAGTCGTCTACAGGATAGGACAGGAGTCGTCTCGCACCGAATGGATCGAAGGGTTGGACGGAGCCATCCCCTTTGCGCGGCTGAGGACTTGTTTGCCTGCGGAGCCGCTGGGCCTAAATTCGGTGGCCTGGGGTGAGTCTGACCGCTCAGCTCGAGACTCACCGGTTTGACATGTAACCTGGTCTTGTTGATATCTTGTTGATATGCATCTTCCAAGCCCAAGATGGATGCTTTGCTGCTAAAGTTTTTGTTATGTGAAACGAACATTGGGAACAAATACACTGTGTTTAGTAGTCTTGAATCACAACCATGAAGGATTTGAATTCGATGGGTGTTGCGGCCTGACAGATGTTTTCCCCGAACCTGGTGTCACCAGGCTTGTTGGACCATGAGTTTGGTTGGAAACGGGATCGAATGCAGTCTTGTCCGGCAACTTCTTCCATGTGGTGTGCTGCATTCAGATGATATCACCAACTTCATTTGGGGCACATTGTGGATCTCTCGCGCGGTATCAAGATCCATCATATCTTCCTGCGCGATGAACAATTGGGTGACAAAGAAAGCACTTCTCTTCCTGGAATCTCGAACCTGGAGGAAGAAATTATCCGTGGAATCCAGTGAAAGCTTGCCAGAAAAGGCTCCATGCCTTGAAGACTTAGAAGCTCCAAGAGTCTTGATGTGACGGCTGTCAGTGAAGTGGCTTGAATCCTGCTCTTCGCCCAGTCCGACAGATGAACAGTTAGGGTGTTAATTCATGCGAGCAGATTGGATCCAATCTGAATCAGGATGTTTGCCAGCAGATTGGATCCAACCATCTCTTTCCAAGTCAATTCGACGACATGACACGGAAATCAGCGAGCATGAGAGTCGTGAGAGGGATTTTTTGGCACATGGGAATTCAGGGAACATCGCCTTTTCAAGCTGGGACCGACTTCCAGACCCCTGGGGAGACTGAAAAGAGTTGAAAGCTGGATGTCAGGTCCCTCAGTCAGTGGATCGGATTTGGGCTACGCCGCTACGCCCCAGGTGGTGGGCTACGCCTTGGCCATTGGAAACTACCCATGGCAGAGCACCGCAGGAGGCGAAGGGTCGCGTTGGGGGTGGGGGATTGCTGGAGCGAAACCATCCCAACGATGGTTTTGTATGAACAGAAACTGAAGGTGGAAGAACAAATGCCCGATGTTTTGCACATTCAATAAATATATATATATTATATATAGTACTATATATGTACAATATATATATGTACAATATATATATATATATATGTACAATATAAATATATATATATATAATATATAGACATACGCATGCATAGTAATCAGTTTACTGATTGACAAAAAGTTTGCAGTACCGACCAGGCCAGGTGAAGTTTGGCGTTTCTCAGATGTTCTATAGGAATGGTGTCGATCTATTTATTTGCTGTTTTTTCCACATGTTTCCACTATCTCTTGCTGCACGGCTGGCACTGCCGGGACTGTTGACCAGTAGAGCTCATTCTTCACTGGGTTGTGCTGAGAAACTCATTGACCGCGGTGGAGGTTTTAGGTGTCAAGACGTCAAGACATTGTCGATATCTTCGTGACGTCGTGAAATTCTCTGTGCTTCCCGGATCTTGAACGCGCAGTTTGGTTTCTTCGCGGATCTTAAAATCAACCAAGCCACTTGGTCCTGGTGTTGTACCAAAAATGACCCTAATTTTGGAACGTGGCTGGCGCGAGGCCACGGATGAGAAGAAACTCCGGTGCTCAAGTACTGTTTTTCCCCAAACAGTGTGGGCACACTGAGGGGTTCTTACGGTAGGGGAAAGGCAGCTGATGCTTAGATCGCTGAAGCGCGCAGCCGTGACCGGCTAATTCGCTGCTATTTACAGTACATTCATGGTTCTCGACATCATCCATGTGCACTTCAACTGCGCAGGCTCGCAGAATCTGGATGTCCGCGGCGGGTGCTTTTAAAGACTGCGCTCTCGTTGTGGTGCTGCGCGCATTTTGGCAGATGGTGATCACTTTTCGTGGCAGGATCGGAGGTGTTTGACTTCGAAGTGCAGATTTCGTGGCAGGCGCAGCACTTTGGACATGGTGGTGATCGTCAAGGAGCTCAGATTTCCTGACAGGTGCAGTGAATCGTGACTTTCGGATATGTGTCTCGTTTGAAGGTTTTCTGCGGCAGGCACAGCAATGTCGTGGCAGGCAGCACTTTGTGAGCCTCGATGTGCTGATTTCGTGACAGGTACAGCACTTTGTGAACCTCGAAGTGCAGATTTCCTCGCAGGCGCAGCACTTGGTGAACCTCGAAGCGCAGATTTCGTGACAGGCACAGCACTCTGTGACTCTCGATGTGCAGATTTCGTGGCAGGTGCAGCGCTTTGTGAACCTCGAAGTGCAGATTTCGTGGCAGGTGCAGCATGAACCTCGGGGTACAGATATCGAGGCAGGCACAGCACTCTGTGACCCTCGATGTGCAGATTTCGTGGCAGGTGGAGCACTTGGTGCACCTCAAGGTACAGATTTCGTGGCAGGCACAGCACTTGGTGAACCTCGAAGTGCAGATTTCGTGGCAGGCGCAGCACTCTGTGACCCTCGATGTGCACTCACCCACCTTCAGTCTCACTCACATCTCACTCACACTCACTCTCACCCACACTCACTCTCACTCACTCTCACTCACACTCGCACTCACTCAGTCTCCCACACTCACACTCCACGCTCACTCTCACTCTCACTCTCACCCACACTCAGTCTCACTCACACTCGCACTCACTCACACTCACTCTCCCGCTCTCACTCGCACTCACTCTCACCCACACTCATTAACAGTCACCTTCACTCTCATTCACGCTCAATCACACTCACACTCACTCTCACTCTCACTCTCACTCTCACCCACGTCCCACTCACACTCACTCTCCCACTCTCACTCACACTCACGCTCCCTCTCACCCACACTCACCCACCTTCACTTCATCACCACCATCACCTCTTTGGACCCCAATGCGTCTAGATCTCTAGACTTTCTGCTTACAGACCACACACACTCTTTGGGGTCTCTTGCCGGGATAATCTTTTTTGGGGTGGGTGTGTGTGTTCCCGACATCGCTTGTGAACACAAACATCAGCCCATTCTCTCCACTTGGGAAAGTCTTCCCCCAACCAGAACCCATGCTCTGCCAAAGCAGCTTGGAACCCACTCGGAGGTTGCAAGGCCTTCGATTATGTGAAAAAGAATGGATTGGCCCGGTTTTTCCAGAAGCCACTTGGCCTGGCACGGGTGCTGCCGTAGCCCTCATCCCTTCGCGAGGTACCGGTAGGTCGAACGGGGACGGGACCGACCGACCTGCCCGTGCTGAGAGGTTAGCTCGACCTTTGGAGGTGAACGGTTTTGGTGAACAAGAGGACGCTAATGGGAGCAAAGGGCACGGCTAGGAGATGCTAGGAGCAAGGACGCTACTAGGGGCGCTCCTGGCCTTACTACTAGCAACAAGAAGTTACTAGGAGCAAAGGGCATGGCTACTAGGAGAAAGGGGCGCTCCTGGCCATACTTCTAGTAGCAAGAAGCTACTAGGAGCAAAGGGCATGGCTACTAGGAGCAAGGACGCTACTAGGGGCGCATCTGGCCTAATTTTTCGTAGCAAGAAGCTACTAGGAGCAAAGGGCGCGGCTACTAGGAGCAAGGATGCTACTAGGGGCGCCCCTAGCCTTACTACTAGTAACAAGAAGCTACTACGCGCAAAGGGCATGGCTACTAGAAGCAAGGGGCGCTCCTGGCCATACTTCTAGCAGCAAGGTGCTACTAGGAGCAAAGGGCATGGCTACTGGGAGCAAGGGGCACTCCTACCCCTTACTACTGGTAACAGGAAGCTACTAGGAGCAAAGGGCATACTACTAGTAACCAAAAGCGACTAGGAGCAAAGGACGCTCCTAGGGGCGCCCCTGGCCTTACTAATAGCAACAAGAAGCTAATTACTAGGAGCGAAGGGCATGGCTACTAGGAGCAAGGATGCTACTTGGGGCGCTCCTGA